AGGAGCTAATTTACAGTTAGCACAACATGCTAGCAGCAGGCACGACGGTGAACTAATGTCCTGAATTCACATATTTTGACATTTATTTGCTGCATTAAAGCTGTTGAACCAATGAAGCTCCATATTTGAGTAGAAGCTACCCCACCCCCCACCTCTACCCCCTAACCTATTCCTAACCTCCTACTGCTGCGAGCTAACAAGCCAACAGGAGCTAGCATTCTTCTTTGTCCCTACTCCAGGGGCTATATGTAGAGCTCCCCCTACAGGTTTGGTGGGTTCACTAGTATCAGTGACTTATAGGTCCATTTTTTTTCAGAAAACTTAGTGGGCGTGGCTTATAGTGAGGCGTGCTCTTTAGTCCGGAGTATACGGTAGATATTATGCGCTCGAAATAAGACAATGCAATTGTTTTTTTTCTTATTTTAAATGTACTTGTCTCTTTCTATTGGCAAAGTGTCTCACTTTCCTTATCAACTCAAGAAAAAAGTGAAATTATTTTAAGAAAAAAAAGACTATTTGTATTTGTCCCAGTTTAATAGACCTGGCACGGTTGGTGTCACTCACCCTTGGCTTTTTTACTGTCTGCGTTGGTGACAGCTCGCCGTTGGACTCGAGCCACTATCAAGTCGCGACCTTGAAGCTGAGCTTTTTGCTTTTTCTTAAGCATTTCTTCTGCCACTGCTTTGTTTTTAAACTCTACGAAGGCGATGCTGTGAAAACATCAAAGGTTTAGTTGATAAATCTGTTAAAACGTGAAGCAAAGAAAGACGAAGAAAAGTTTTTTTTCCTTTTCCCCTCACCCCTGACTCGGTCCTTTGGCTCCCCCGGGAAAGCGAATGGCGACGGCTCTGCGGAAAACCTTCCGGATGTCTTCTTCAGTTGCGTTGTACGGCACGTTCTTTAGAAACAAACATCTGTGGTCTTTCACTGTAAAAAAACAAAAACAAACAGAAAAATGAAAGCTAATGTACACAGGTGGGGCGTAACCCCGATTAGAGAGGCTGCTGGTAAAGGTAATCAGCTGATCAAACGTGGGAGAAAAACCCAATTCTGTGACTAAATCAGCAGTTTTCCTTCCATTGACAGCCTGATGGCAAAAAAACAATTCAGTCTAATTCTCCTGCGTAGCGTCCAATCATTGAGAAATGTTTTTCATTATGTTTGGCAGTGATAGCGAGACTGCTTTGTTTATTCCCTTTTCTATTCTATTTTTTTTGTGTTGTTTTTATAACAAAAATTGTAAAAATGATTTTTGACTTTTAAGTCCATTTCAGTAGGACTGTTCA